TACAAAGACACAAGAGCAAGAGGAAGCTAGTGCTTCTAGGCAAGCCAGAAAAGCATTCTGCAGTACAACATGCCAAACTAGAGATCCTAATTCAGCACACGGTGTGGCAGGGAAACCTTCCCTGCAGTGCTAAGCTTTAAATAGTACTTTATTTTATAATATGATATAAGCCAGTGGTGTCAGACATACGGACTGGAAAGTCCTTTAATCCACTTTTGGCTACCACGCAGTTATGTGAACCTAAGGTCTCCAACACTTCCGAGCTGCCTCTCCTCATGCCCATCTCTCCCAATGCCCCCTCCCCCTGGTTTTCTGAGTTGGCATGGCCAGAAGAAGCATCTAGTTTCAGTTATGGGAAGGGGATCAAGTTTCTCACGTAGGCAGTTCAGCAAGGAATGGTAGTTTAGAAGCAGAGACTGAAACAGCAGAAAAGCTAGAAAGCCAATGATACATAGAGGTAAAGTGAAAGATTTATTTCCCCCTTTGTAACAAAACAGTTAAAAGCAAAGACACTTGACAGATTCATATAACCAGTTGCTTTAGCCAGTTATCTCAACCCCCAACCACATAGTAGCATAACAAGTGAATGTTTGAGGTTGTATTGATTCTACTTTAACTTTTGTTTGTTCTCCAATCCTTTTTCAGTAGCATTACAAAACATATTTAGCAGTTACCCACCCTGTAAATCAATTTTAGTCATTTCTCTTTTTAAAAAAAGTCACAATTTGATTTGTAGTTGCTTTTTGTGAACATTATGCAATTTGCTTCTTAACCAGTAATAGTTAGTTCCTAATGCAAGTTGAATCCATATATTAAAAGTTTGAGTTTCTAATTATCAGCAAAATGAGACTTATTGGCCTATGTAATCTGCAGATAGATGGTTTTCTACAGTCTCCCTTTTTCAGATTTAGGGCTTTTCCTGTAAACCTGATGACTTGTCTTTGCAGAGGCTTGTGGTAGCAAATCCGTGTATGATGGGCCAGAACAGGAAGAGTATTCAACATTTGTCATTGATGACCCTAAGGAAACGTATAAAACACTAAAGCAAATCATAGAAGACGTTGTGACTTTAGAACAAGAACATGCTCAGTACAAGAGGGATAAATTCAAGAAGACAAAATATGGAAGCCAGTAAGTAGGGATTGTGCAATACCTCTATAAAATAGTATTTCATTTGCTTACTTCCTGGTTTTCAAAACTATTCATGGTGGGAAACATCCTGCAGTACAGCTGCATGTAAGGTTTTGATTAGGGTTAATGTATTTCTTTTTTTAACAGTTTACAAATAAAGTGCTTACATCTTTTTCAAAGGTAGTATGATTGGTAACAGGTATTTGAGGAAAAATATATTAATAATGGAAACTTTGTAGCACTAGTGTAAAAAAGTGATTCTGTGCCCATCAGATATTTGCTCAGAAGATGCAAATATTTAAGAATTTTGTGTAGTTCAATTTGAATTGTAAGTAAAATTTCCTTTAATCTGCAACATCTATTACCATATTTACTCAATTATAAGATAAGGACCCCTCCTTTAATATGGGGGGAAGCCCCTCACCTTAGAATTGAGTAAGAGGGTGATGGGGGAGTAGGGCAAGTGGCTGTTGTGGCTCAAGCTTCAGCCCCTACCTGGGGTTGTGGCCATAGCTGCAGCTGTTGCCTGTGTTTCCCCCCTCCCCCCACACTGCCTCTGCATCCCATCATCTCCCCCTGCATGTCACCTCTACTGTCCTGCCTGTTTTTCTCACTCCCCGCCCCCACTTATTTTTTCTCCATACCAGCAGGTACTGTACATGCTGTATCCTAGGACACTGACCATGGCCTCAGGCTAGAACAAGGATGGAGCCTGCGGCTGGGGTCAAAGGG